GGGAAAGAGGAGGGGGAACCTTATAAAAGCTAAACTAGATAATTGTGGTTTTGATCCCCTATTGCCTAAACATGGCCTATCATATATCATTCACAAGAAAATAATGAATTTACTTGATATAAATTCATTTATTCCAAATATATTCAAGAACCACATTGAAACACTTGAAAAAGAATTTTTTTGAGAGAAAAATAGAATTAAATTGTGAAGTGATGCTGAAAAGCAAAGGACCAATTTTCTTTTCATCTATTAAGAATGAGAGCATTAGTGAATAGGTATTCGAAATCTTTGAAAAGTTAATGATAATATGCAAGCTTAACACTTGACTACTGAAAGTTCTTTGTGCTCCATGGAATAAAAGTGTGATATTAAAATGAGTAAGGCTATGATTAAGTTTCTACAGGAACGTTAATAGTGAAAAAACCTATTGTGTTCCAATATACTACTGCCAGTCTACTGAACATATCTAGATCATATGAAGATGTTAAACTTTTGTTCATTGATTTATTAATAAAAAAATCACTTGGCAATATTGTAATCACTTCGAAATGTTTTCTGTTAAGAAATACATTCTGATTGGCTTTGAAAACACATAAATTCAGAAAAACTAAAAATTTTGACTATATTTTTAATTTTCCTGACCTGATGTAGACAAATTAGTAACTACCTTACATGAGTATAGAATCATTGTGTTTTCCCAGTGATTGCTTCCAACAGAAAAGCATGGAGTATGAGAGGGCTGAGAAAAATAAAATCTCAATGAAAAAAAAAAAGACATTTGAACTCAGAGAAGCTCGCAGAGAACCTGTGAAATTTACACATGCACAAGATCATTTAGGTTTTCAACCTGTGTTTGGTAAAATATATGCATTTTTTTTATTTGGAGGATAATTTCTGAATCATTTGTTACCTTTGTCAAAGTTACAGTTCAAGACAGATTTACTCTACTTGTTTTGTTATCATTCATTTATCCCACCTAATCCCCAAAAGAACTTGAGGGGGTTATGAACTATTAATTAGTAATTAAATATATTTATAGTTTTTTATAGCATTTTATATTAGATCATCATTTTCTAATTAATTACTTATTAGAGCATACATTAGTCTGAACAGCTGTTATATTACTGTGTAATGAATGTGCTTTTAGCAGTAAAAATCTAAATCCGGAAGTGGTAGGTCATTACAGAGAACAGTGCAAGAGCAGCCCAGATGTGCACCAGCAACTCCAGGAGAGCAGATGAGTAATGGATACTTCAAGTCATGTCAGCAACAGAATCTGTGGAAGAACTCTGGAGAAGCGAAGATACCGGATATTGGTGACCTGGGAGGATTTAGGAAGCAGTAAGGAAAAGTGAACTTCGAAAAAAATCTATGCTATGTGGCACGTTACACCTGAGAGAAAAAAATATATCACCAAAAATAAAAAGATAGCATTTGAAAGTATGAAAGCAAACAGAACGAGTAACAAAGCTTTCAGTGAAGGGAAAAAAAGAAAAAAATTGTTTGACTCATCTCAAATCAGGTATTGAGCCTGAGGAAGATGTCAAAGGACATTTCCTCAGAGACAAAACATAGATAAAGGGAAAGAACATAGGAGAATAAAAATGCACAGAGTTGTCAGGAACTGGAAAGTCAGCTCAGAGGACACATTGCAAGCAGTACAGGAAACGGCCTTAGGGGAGGGGAGCACCAGTCCTGCAAAGCCTTTGCAATTGTCTTTAATTATAATGGAGGCCCTAAGTACACATTCCCTGAAGAGAGACCCACCCAAGAGTTTCTGATTTTCTGCTCACACATTGCTTGGAGAGAGACAAGCTGTCAAAAACCCATAAAGAACCATTTTAAGAAATAAATTGAAGCTTTCATCTCCTCAAAGATGTGTGATTAGAAAAATAAATCATATAGCGCTTTCAAATCACAGCCATAAAACTAAAAAATACCATTATATACATCCAACTTGCATTTAATGAGATAAGGTCTACAAGAGTGAGTTCTTGGTATTTATTTTTATTCCATCTTGAACTTGAAGCTTTCAACGGGCTCTTTTGGAAGAGTCAGCTGACAGTTTTCTTATTCATTATAAGAATCTGTGAATGCATTTTATGCACGACAAAATGAAAGACTAGGTAAGATAAAATAGAATGGTGTATCCACTGTTCTGGTTTAACAGTAATGGCAATCATTAGTTACTTCAGAAAAAGCAAATTAATTAGCATTTTTAACCCTCAAATAATAGATGCTACAATATAAAATAAACTAGACCTAAAAATAGCATTTATAAACAGAGAAAAACAGTAAGTCACTTGGTCCTGAAGTCCCATACAGGTGATTTTCACTAACCTTCCAGTTCGCTGGAGTTCAGGTCCACTGTGTCCTCCATGGGGCTCTGCTTCCCCATGAGCTGCTGTTCCATTTGGTACAGCAGTAATCTTCCTCTTCTCCTGTGGGAAGTTTTTGTTATTAGTGGTATAGTGGTGGTGGTGTTTCTGGCTGTTTGTTTTGTCTTAATTTAAGGTGTTAGCTGTCAATAACAATAACAAATTTCTTCTTTGAAGCAATATGTAGAATGATTAAGAGCCTAGCTTTGTTACTTATTTTCATCCTAACCTCTGGGAAGTTACCTAGCCTTCTGAGTGCTTCAGTCCCCTCCTCCATTTACTGGAGGTAACAGTACCTGTCCTACAGTGTGACTGAGAGAATTCAATGAGATGATGGGCATTTATTCATTCTTTCAACTCATATTGATTGAGTGCCTAGCGTGTGCCATTCTTTGTTACGACTGCTAGAGTTTAAAAGGTGAGCAAGTGAGAAGAGACAATAAACTTCAAATTTCAGGTAGAGGTAGTAGCTATGAAGGAAAAAGAAGGAAGGGAAGAAGAAAGACCAGGGTAGGTACAGGCTGGAGTGAAGAGGTGCGTGGTATGATGGCGTTACATGCCTGGCATAGTTTAATTGTTCAATAAGCATTAACTATTGTCATTATTTTTAAAGGATATTTGCTTCTATGGTTCCAGCCGATATCTTTCTATCCATGGAATAATATGTAAGTCCTTGTGACTCACAGAGGCCCAAGGACTTGCGGAAAGAACTCCTAATTGATCCAATGACAAACAAACTGAGATGAACGTAACAGCTGTTTTATCTACTTTTGTCAGTGAGGTTTTGTTTGTTTGTTTTAAATCACAAAGTATTACCAACAATTCTACCTATGGTCATCTGAGAGCATACCAATGGTTCAAAAGTGCTTCAAAGAATTTTAAAAACAGTTAAGTGGTGCAACTTTAGTTGACTTCCTTTTCAAAACAAAGTATAAATGTGAAGAGCACGAGTGACTCATCTGATCATACATACAATAGCGCATTTAGATAGAATAGTATATATTTTAAACATGAGAAAAAAAGTTCTAAAATGCACACAGTATCAAGGGGGAAAATGAAGTAAAATATATAAGAAGCACAAATAAAACACAACTTAATTTTTGAAATTAAAATATGCACACAATATAGGAAAGTTCGGTACTTAATATTTTTACTATTTCTCCAAGTATATGGATAGATACAAGGAGACTGAAATTTAACTCTCAACTGATAAAGGAACTACCATTATAGGTACAAAGGATACATTATTAAATCTGCTTCTTAATCAGTCAGGGAATATTCCTGAGCTTCCACATACCTTGGAAAGTAAATGATATTGGCCCAGTCGTGGTGGCCACAGGTAGTGCCACTGCTAGGGAAGCAAAAGACTGCATGGACGGTCAGGGTTTGATTCCCAGGCCGACCTGAACACACAAAGTACAGTTGCTTTCTCTAATTCTAGCTTAGTGGGAGACTGGGGCATAAAGATCGTGGTATGGTGAGACCCTGGAAAATGTTTATCTTTCTTTCTCTTCTCCCCCACCTCTCTCTCTCTCTCTCAACTTGCAAAAAAATAACAAAAGGAAAAGGAAAAGAAATTGATATTGTGTAGTCTTCACTATCTCTATGAGATTAAGTAAATCTTTGTCTTATAATACAATGGAAAAAGCTATACATTGATAATGAAAATGAAAACTCTACAGGACATTAACCACTCTAAAGTATATATTTCCTGAAGGAGTCAGGAAAAAGGCATCTGAAAAGGGTAGTGTGCATAAGCAATATCATTAAATACTCTGAAGAAAATATAATAAATACTTCTGGTCTGAAACAGATATTTTTAATTGTTTTAAAGAGAAATTTTTGCTATTGTGTACATGCACTCGCCGGAGAGACTGAGAGAGACAGAAAATGAGAAATCATCTCCCAGTTGCCACTCCAGAATCCTTTCTCCTTCATTCTTCTCTTGGGATTTTGGGTGTGCACACACACCCATGTGCTTGGCGTGAGTTTCAAGCTGCCAGGTCTGAGACTCGAACTGCAGTTGGCCATGTGGGAGTCCAGCACCTTAAGCACTATGATACCTTCTGGCCCCAGTATTTTCATTTTTTTAAAAAAATGTTAGCCCCTTAGAAATACACCAGTGGATAAAATCAGGCCTGCAGAGCTTAATATTCTAATAGGTAATATGGATAATAAATAAGTAAGCAAATAAGCAAATTAATTCTATAATGTGTTAGAAAGATTAAGAACTATAGAAAAAGAAAAAAATTGGAGCAGAATTAGGTTGGGAGTCTGGGATATGGGGTGGATAGTTGGATGGAAAGGTAGGGAAGGCAATTATAATTATAGTGGCCAGGTAGCTTCAGTGAGAAAGTGTCATTTTAGAAAAATTTGAGGTGATGAAGGACAGGAATAATGGAGGTGAGGGCAAGGCTGTCAAAAAAAGAATAAACAGCCAGCAGAGTAGTCCTAAGGCAGCAGTGTGGCCAGTGGATTTAAAAAGCATGGAAACCAATATTGCTAGAGAGGCATGAGAAAGGAGCTGGTAGGATATGACCAGATGTAAAGGGAGTCCAGATTGTGTAGATTTAGCATGCCAATGGAAGTTTTTGGCATTCATGCTGAGTAAAATGAGAAACATTTGCAGAGTTTTGAGGAGAGAAGTACAATCTAACGCAGAGTAATTCTGGCTGCTATGTTGTGAATGGATTCTAGGATCCTAGGGAAGAAACAAGAAAATATCCAGTTAAAGATATTTCAGTAAGCCAGGAAAAAGATGATAGTGGCTTAAACCAGAGAGGTGACAGTGACAATAGTGAGAAACATATAGTTATGAGAAATACTGAAAGCGAACAACAAAAAACAATTTCCTAGCAGAATGGAAGTCAGGTATAAGAAAAAGTAATAGGTATTTTTGGTTGATCTACTATAAGGATCCACTGTAATTACAATAGCAATTAATTAACATAGATTGTACTTGTGGAAAAGATTTTAAGAGATCAGAGATTTTTTTTATACTACCAGAAGTATTATATTGCCTTTTCTAGTATAAATGCAAAGATGTATACAGGTACAGAATTGAGACAATTGCAATTCAGTCCCAACTTTCAACATGTTAACTTTTAAATATAAGGCATTCAATTGGGCAAATATCAGTAGGCAGTTGTCTACTTCTTGGATTCAAGGTAGGAAATAAACATAAGAGAGGATTTAAAGCTATAAGATTGGATAACATGGGGGATCTTCAAAAAGTTCATGTAAAATGTGCATTAAGAAAAAACTATGCATGGATTTCAAAATTATTTTGCCTCAAAATAAACTCATTACTTTATTTTCCTTTTTTCTTGAACTTTTTATGTTCCCTCATATTACCAAGCAAGTGAATGAAGGTAAAGGAGAAAGAATGACTAAAAATTGAGTCTTACATTACTTTAACATTAAAAATCAGAGAAAAGAGGAAATCAGCAAAGGAGACTAAATAGGAGTAACAAGTTTATTAGGAGAAAAAACAAGAAACTAGGTTTTGGAAGCCACCAAAGAAGGCATTTCAAGGAAAAGGCAGTCATCAACTCCATCAAATGCTGCTGATCAATCGGTTAAATACCATGCAGACCAATAATTGACTAAGATTTAGCATTGTGGAGATAATTGGTAATCTCTGTTAGTATTTTAGTAAAGATTTAAGGGTGGAAGCCTTGCTGGTATGGATGTTTAGAGAACATTGGAGGAAAGGAATTGAAGACAGTATAGAGAACTCTTGTGTGGCATTTTGTTGCAACAAACAGAAGGGAAATGGGTGAGTAACTAGCAGGGATAGTGGTATCAGGAAAGCTCTTTTTGTAAGATTGGTGAATTAATGGAAACAATACGGAGGTTTCTCATAAACCTACAAGTAGAACTTCCACATGACCCAGTAATCCTACTTCTTTGTATTTACCCAAAGGTAGGAAAACACTCACCCAGAAAGACATTTGTATATCCATGTTTACTGCAGCCTTATTTACAATTGCTAAAACATGGAACCAACCTCAATGTCTAAAAACTGCTGACTGGGATGAAAAACTGTGGCACAAAGATACTATGGATGATTGCACAGCTATAAGAAATAATGAGATTCTATTGTTTGACTCCAAATGGATAAATATAGAAGACTTAATGTTGAGTGAAGTGAGCCAGACTTGGAAAGATACACATTGTGTATCCCCACTGATTTATACTGAGTGCTACAGCAGAGGTTGAGAGACTTGAAACTGTGATGGTGGAGAGGGTGGGTATAAATGCTACAGACTGTCAAGGGTGAGAGTGGATAATAGAGAGTGGGCAGTGTAGGGTAGGTATGAGGTACAAGGCGAGGAAACATTTGACAGATGGAAAAATGCTAAAAAAAAATAAAACATTTACATTATGAAATTAACTAAATTCTGTTCTGTAGCAGGTTATTTCAGAAATTGGTTTAACTGTATATGTTCATTAGGATTAAAATATACATGATGACATTTCTATTCATCCCAATAATTTCAAGCCAATTGTTGATTTGTCATGTATTTTTTCATTTGTACCTTTGATAATATCTTGATTTTTTCAAATTGGTGAATTAATAGAATGGTATATGCTAATTAAAATGTTACAATATAGGCTCAGCTGCTGTAGTACAGCAATAATGCCTGCACTTCACAAGGCCAGAAACTACAATGCATGCAGATCACAAGTTTGGATCCCTGGGTTGGCCTGAAAACACACTGGGCACATGCATGAGTGCCCAAGTTACTGATGGCTGGAGTAGGGGGCTACAAAATGGAAAAACCCTGTCTAGAGTGCCTCTGTCTCTGCGTCTTTGTCTTCATGCACCTAAGCACTCTCTTTCTAGGTGGAAAAAATTGACAGAACTAAAGAATTCATGACATAGCGAAAAGAGAGAATTGATAATGTCCATGAGAACACACGAAGAGAGGGGCTCTAGAGCACAGTAGGCTGACTTTGGATATCTCGTCAACAGTAATGTGTGGAAAGGCAGAGTGTACAACTGCTGGCAGTTGGATAGGTGCAATGGCGTGAATCTGTGTAAGTTCTTCAATTGTCTCAGATTTCTCAGGGAAATAAGAAACAAGTGAAAGAGAGAGCAAGGCTCAAAAAGGGATGTGCTGAAAGTTTGAGGAAATAGAAACAGGTATGAAATAATCATCTGGAGAGAATGATTGGAGTAGGAAAATATAGTCAGGAAGCATGATGAACTTGGAGCATTAAGGATCCATTTGAGGTCAGTGGACATGAATTTATGTAAGAACAGTCAGTGCAGTTACATGTTTTCCTTCAACTTCAGCTACATCAATGCAGACACAAAGTGTTGGATTCTCACAGAGTTGTGGTTTTAACCAGTAAGTATATGGCATGAGAGAAAAGCAAAGAAGTTAATATTACATTCAAGGAAGTGATTATAATGATTGACACACATTTTTAATATTTTCAGGGTTACCACTTTATATGACAGGTGATTATTTTCTTAGCTGAAAGGAAGAGTATTTAAAATGCTATGTATTTAAATTGCACATTTCAATAGAATAAAAACCATGGAAACTTTCGGGGGATGGGTACAAACACTTGGATGTATATCAGGTCAAATGCTCAATGTATATTAATTCACTTTAAGGTACAAAAAATATATAGCGTGATTCTATCATTCAATTACAACCTGCATTTTTGAAACATTAATGTAAAGAAGCAGAGAGCATGTCTCCAAACCATACTCACTGCATAGAACTATGCTGTCTAATATGATAGCTACTAACTGCAATGTGTTTGTTTAAGTTCATTGAAATTTAAAATTCAGTTCTTCAGTTGCTGTATCCACATTTCCAGTGCTTGATAGTGACTTATTAGGAAACAAAGGCATAAAGTATTTCCATCACAGCAGAAAGGCTATTGATCAGTGCTGATACAGAACATCAGTACAAAGAGGTCAAAGTATTTGTGCAAGGTCATGTAAACAGATAATGGCAGAACAGCTGTCTTAATTCTTAATCCAATTTTTTTTTCTTCTGCTGCCTCCCAAAACCCAGATCCAATCATTAATTCTCATTTTAAAGGGTCTCATAAAAATAGTAAATAACAGACTTCGCATTCCTTGACTTGCTTCAAACCAGTATTTTTTTTAATACTTTGCTGTTAATATTTTTAAAAAACTAACTGATGTTACAGGAAATTTAAAGTCTCATTCTCAAGATATGAACTGAGATTTTTCCTCCAATACCATCAACTAAATAATTTCTTTCTTCTCCTTCTTCTTATTCTTATTTTATTTTATTTTATTAAGGATGATATTGCTTTTTCCAATATTTCTGTGTAAAGATATATACAAGTACATAAATAAGATAATCTACAACCCTTACAATTGCTCGTTAAGCAATTGCCTTTATGTCAATAGTAGATCAACTAAAACTATGAGGTTGCAGTACAGAATCACAAAATTGTTGATCAAAGGAAAATAGATAGTATTTTATTATAAAATGATTTCAAAATACAGATACATAAAATCATATATTTTCTTCCTTTCATTTTCTTTAGGTTTTTACCATAAGGCACATGCGCTTGCTAGAAAAAGAGAGAGAGAGACAGTGAGAGGGAAAGTGAAAAATCACCCCTCAAGCAGGATGGCCATACTGCAATCCTCTCTCCTCCAATCTCCTCCGGGGATTTTGGGCATGCACACACACATGTGCCCAGTGTGGATTTCAAGTTGCCAGGTAAGGGACTCAAACCGTGGTCATATGGGAGTCCAGTGTCCTAACCACCATGCAACCTGCTGGCCTGTATCAGTATGTTTTCTTTAAAGCGACAGCAGAATTGGGATCAATTTTTCATGTACTCATGGCTGAGCAGTATGCCTGCATATTTTCCTATCTCTGGCTAATCAGGGAAGCTTCTATCCTGGCCTGGGGCAATTAGACTATCTCCTGCTTCAACTTGGACATTAGAGTCAGACAGGATGGACACTACAGATGCAAGGGTCAAAATCAGGGCTGAGTTAATGACAATTATGGGGGTGGTGGGAAGTGATTCAATAGGAACAAGGGTGGCAACATGAGGAGTAGGCTTAAGAAGCATTTGGCCACCATTTCCAACAGTCATGCCTGCAATAATAAAATGACCCCAAACAATAGTAATGCTCTTTGTTTCTATCTTTCTGGATTGTGTGACTGGTAAAATGCATACTAGTATTTTTTTACTTGTTTGTTCTTTTGTGTTTTTTGCTTGCTTGTTTGTTTTTGCTAGAAGGCACATGTACTGACCAGAAAAAGAGAGGATAAAGCACCCCCCTTGGGAAAGGTCACAGTGCAACTCCCCTTTTCCATTTCTCCATTCTTTCAGGACTTCAGGCGTGCACTCACACACATATGGCATGTTTCTCAAGTCACTTGGACCTGGGACTTGAACTGCTCAGACAACTATGTGGGATTCAGCTGCCTTAACCACTAGGTTACAGAACCGATCCAACATTACATCTTTTTAGGCAGAATTTTCACAATTTTTATACCACATATCCACATAAAAGTAATGCAAACATAAGAAGTATAATAAAATTCTTCCTACCACATGATTAACAGTAACAGATTTTTCTGCATGACATGATTAAGTCATGCCTTTGAATTTTCTTAATAATTGCCAATTTCAAAGGTCTGTATCAGAATACAGAACGATAGTACTGGGCTCTTTCCAAGGCAATATTATACATTGTTGTTAAAATTTTAATATTTTCCTCTGTAATATTTTAAGTTGGATCTAAATTCTTTCCAGGCACATAGGACTGTTTGATTTAGTAAATTATCATCAAAATGTCAAATTTTAAAGATCAGGTGGCATGGTGGTTAAGGCGCTGGCCTCCCACTTGGCCAATGGTGGTTTGAGTCCTGAACTCGGCAGATTGAAAATCACGCTGAGTGTATGTTTGTGCCCCAAATCCCAAGAGAATAGAGGAGAAGGGATTTTAGTATGGTCATCCCCCTGGGGGTTGATTTCTCACTTCCCTTCTCTTTGGTGAGCACACACATCTTATGGCAAAAACAAAACAAACAAAACAAAGTCAAATTTCTTGTGAAGTGTGTTGGATGGTATCAAAAAGAAAATTTTGCAACTTCATGCCCTTGCCTTTTTAGAGGTTATAATTTAAAATCCTTTGAATCTTGTTGATGGATCATACTATTTTAGGGCATGTGTTTAAAAGACATAATGGGGTTTTAAAGAGCGTTTTCAAATATACATACCTGGGAAGGAACGTTTTTGGGAGGCTCTATTCGAATGCTTGGATCCCATTCTCCAGGAGGGAGAACAGTAACCTGATCCAGAAATTCATCAATTCCTGATACCAAGTCATTACGATCTCTAGCTTTATAAGCAACATCATGAAATACCTACAGAAGAAAAAGAAACATCATTAGTAGCTTAAAAACAATGATAAAGGGACCAGCAAACAGCGTAATGGCTATGTTGCTGGACTCCCATGTAGTCGACCACAATTCAAGTCCTGGACTCAGTTGCTTAAACACACGCCAGGTGCGTGTGCATGTGAGCCCAAGATCCCAAGAGGAGAATGGAGGAGAAGGAAGGGATTGCACCACGGCCATCCTCCCTGGAGGGTGATTTCTCATTTTCTGTCTGTCTCTGTCTTTCTGGTGAGCATATGCACCCTGTGGCAAAAAACTCCCAAAAAAAAAAAGAAAAAAAAACAAATAATAAATCTGAATGTGTTCACTGTTTTTATTTCCCATTATATCACATCTGATTCTAACAATTTGAAGAAATAGGCAACTTTGAACCCAAAGAATTTTTTAATGTAAAATATTATAACTTAGCTTATTTTATGAATCCACACAGATATCTGCTTTTCCTAAGGTGCTAGAATGAATGTTGAAATTTCTAGAGGCAAAGAGTAAGGGAGACGAGAAAAAAAGAAAGAAGAAAAGAAGGAAGGAAGGAAGAAGAAAGCTCTTTAAGCTAAAATTAATTATTTAAGCTAGGCCAACATTATTTATGTGTGGTTAAATCAGTTTTTTTGAAGGAAGCTATTCCTTAAAAATAGAGATTGGAATTTGTAGACAGTATGAGAAAGACTAGCCATATTTAACCCTGGCATACAGAAACTAATTAAAAAGGCTAATTTTGTTTCAATTTTGAAAATTATGATAGGTAACAAGTATTTTCTGTATACATATTATATCTATATAATGCAGAAAATACACTTTCTTTCAAAGTATGAATTACACTCAAACACACACACAAACACACAGACACTTTGGTAGCTGGGCTGTTGACCAGTATCTCAGATATATTTCTGGACACATGGTAGGAGGTCTCTTTGCCATTTTCTGATTTTTGGATGAGCTATGTGTTATTTAGGTGTAGACATATCTCTTTGAATCAAAGCTGTGAACACCAGGGTGTGACTTACCATGTTTCTTTTTGTCTGAGCAAACACAGGTACAGACCGAGCTTCTGTGAGCCTGGGTGCCTAAGTGACTATGGAAGAACCAGGTTCCCTCTGCTAGTGATGGACATTCAGCACAATAGAAAAAAAAACCTTGTTGTTTTATGCCACTGACATTTTAGTTGGTATTCCTGCAGAAAACCTAATCTCTTTTGACTTACACAGGAATGATCCACTTAATACAGTAAGTAGAGAAAGTAAAAATAAAGATAAGCAGAAAAATTATTTCTGATACTTTTTGTATTTCACATAAATGAAATGTAACAGACAAATATTTGAGATTAATGACTCCCATATTATTCTTTATGTTGGCCTATATTCTAGTGACCAAGTAGTATAAAATTCCTTGGAAAATCCTGTTTTCAAACATTTTATTCTGCTTTTAGACCATTTGTTTCCATTTCTGGCTTGATACTCAACTTAAACTACTGACAAAGTGATAATGATCTTTTTAAAAGACTTTTTCTTGACTTTCCAACTAGAAAGACTTTGCAAAATGTTCATAAAATATCACTGGTGTGATAAACATGTAGTCTTTTCTTGAGATAATACGAAAATATCAAAGATATAGTAATGGTTTAGTTGTATTTTAAGAAGGAGACTTTTAAAGTATTTCAAACAGTCCTGCCCAGTCACAGTGGTACAGATGATAACATGCTGCTCTGTGGTGCTGGAAGCTACATGGTCAACCAGGACTTCAGATCCTGAACTGACCTGAATCACACCTGCAGGCACACACCTAAGATCTTATCTGGAGGGCTGAGGGAGAGGGGTTGGCTGTGATGAGACCTCTTCCAGGGTGCCTGTCTCTCTGTTTTTCTCCATAGTCTTTCTCAGACGTAAGAAATAAGATAAACCTAAAAACCAAACTAACACAGATATCCCTGGCACAAACCACCAACTTTATGGCTTAGAATATTCTCTTCTAAAGATTTTATATGGCCCCGAGACCTAATTTGAACACTTAAGAAATACAAATGTCCTTAATCTTTAATGAGAGTTTACTCTATTTTTCCTTGAAATCTTTCTTAATGTAATCTCATGTAATTAAATAATTGTTTCAGGGACCTTCAGGTGGCATGATGGTTAAGGCGCTGAACACTCCCACATGGCTGACCATGGTTTGAGTCCCAGACCTGGTGGCTTGCTTTCTCACTTTCTCTCTCTCTGTCTCTCTGGTCAAATTAAAATAAATAAATTAATTAATAAAATTAAATAAATAATTCTTAATTAAAAAATTGTTTTAAGAGATCACATGATCCTATACCTTGCTTTAAACAGATTATGTCCAAATTCATCCAGGAAAAATTGATTTCCTATTATTTTAAAGCTCCTCAAATATATAGACACAATAATTTATTTGTTAAATTAAAAATAGTATGTATTATTGTCTTCCTATCACCAATTTCCAACAATATTAAATACTTTCTTAATAACAAGTACTAACAACTTTTCCTTTCTCTTTATAGTTTTCACTGTAATTATAGTTAATTATAATTAATAGTTAATTATATAATTTCTTTTTATTGTCCACTTAGCCTGCTAAAGCATGAGTTCTAAACATTTATTCAATAAATATTAAACTATGTAGGTACTAGGGGTACAACAGTGAAAAAAAAGCAACAAAAACCCATGTTTTATGGATTTTACATTCTGTGAGTGGGGTGGAAAATAAACGATATAAATGATTATATACTTTGATGGATAATGGAAAGTATAATGGAGAAAAATGAAGTAAGAATAGAGAATAAGGATGTGACTGAGGGATAGTTGGATTTTAAGTACAGTGATAAAGGAAAGACTCAATGAGTAGACATCAAACAAAGACCTGTTGGAGATAGGGATGCGAGTCGTGCCGCTATAGGAGCAAGAACTTTACAGCTGAAGGGGATTTAGGGAACATGAAATTCATGTCTGAGAAGTACAAAGGAGGCCAGTTACTGGGAAGACAGAGTAGCAGGAGATGACATCTGAGAGGTGCAGTGGAGGAGGGAGGGTGACATTGTGTCAGACTTTGTAGGTCATCATAAGAACTTTGACTTTTACTGATCAAGATGAGAAACGATGAGATGGTCAAGCTGTAAAGGGTTGCTCTAGTTGTGTTGAGAATGCAATGGAGTAGGGTAAAAGCAGAAAGAACTGGGAGACTGTTGCAATAATAGAATAATAATAGCAACATGAATCAAGTGATAGCGGTGAAAGCCAGGTGAGGGTGCAAAAATTCTGATGTAGTAAGACTCCGGATATATTGTGAAATTAGAGCCAAGAATTTATACTGACTGATCAGGAGAGAAATAGAGGGGTCAAAGATGACCTCAAGCTTTTTCCGTGAGACCAATGGCCCTATCTTTTTTCTCTACAACTGTATGTCCAATAAGTGACTGGCAATAAATGTATATTTGTCATATTAATAACATTGAAGAAGTACTGTTACTATCATTCCCAGCTTATAAATGAGAAAAGTGAGGCAGAGAGGGTTGAGATTCTTTAGTCTGAGATCACACAAGTAGGATATGTATTTCTATCCTCCTTTGTTTCCTCTATCCCTCTTTTCCTTTTTTTTTTTTTTCTATTTTATTCTTTTCCTACCCTTCTTTTTAAAAGATAGGGACTCTGAGTCATTTTTGTAGCTGATAGAAATAATATAGCAAGAACTATAAGGAAACCACAATGAATAATTAAGGGGCAGAGTCTTCCTTAAGTCAGTGGGTGGGAAGAAGAAATGAACCGGAAAAGAAGACTAAGAAAGAGCCAGCAGTGAATTAGGGGGGAAAAGAAACAATGCATAAGAGGACTTTTTACCCTTATATTTATTTTTACTCTTTTTGGTCCTTTGCTGTTCCATATATTCCTTAGAATTCAAGCTCTTTGGCAAACACCTGTTGAGATTTGGACTGAAAGTGTATTGGTTTCTCTCTTGTTACTATTGCTTGACTAGACTATGGCAACATTGTCTTAAGAGATCTTCCTGCTTTAGCCTGTGCTCTGCCACTTACTACCCTAACCTCAAAAGCCAAGTGATCATTTTTAAATGTAAGACAAACCATGTCATTTCTCTGCATAAAACAGTCCATTCACTTCCCAACTCATTCTCTCTTTATGTGACGTACAACTACCCTGCACACTGGCCCGATTCCTCTCCGACCTCATCACTAGGCTCTCTCTCTTTCTCACTCCTGCTCAGCCTCATGGTTGCTGTTCCCCAGATATTCTACACACTTGTCCCAAAGCCTTTGCCGTTGTTTGTCCTTTGGCTTGGAAAGCTCTTCCTTCAGGTATCTGCCTGGCTTGCTCCCTGTCCTCTTTTAGGTTCTCTGCTGAATATCTCCACAAGACCTTCTTTGGCCACTTTAACGACAACTTTCCCAGTCCTCATCTATTGCCCTTTCTTACTTTCCTGGTTTTATCTACAGCGTTTATCACTATGTGCCATATATTTTACTTATTTATATGTTAGTCTGCCTTTCTATTACACTATTGAGTTAATAAAAGAAAATATATTTTGTTCACTGCTGTATCTCAGCATCTTCAACAGTGCTGATAAATAGTTTACATCCAATAAAAGTCTATTGAATAAAGAATAAAGTAAGGGAGAGACTTGTCTTACTAGAGATCAGGACTCATTATAGGGCTACATAATTAAAACAGTATGACATTAGCATAGAGATGAATGATTTTTTTTTTGGGGGGGGGGAGAGGTTTTTGCTAGAGAGTGCATGCACTTGCCGGAAAGACAGAGATAGAGAGGCAGAAAGTAAGAAATCACCCCCACACCAGGGGGGATGGCCACACAAGTTATAGGATACTCCTTTTTATGTTCTTGTTTTTAAGATCCTATATTTTTTAAACAAATATCTCTTTGAGAACCTGCTGAAAGCTTCTTCCAGTCTAAAAAAAAAAAATCTACATATCATTTACATAGAAAAATTTTCGTGCTATATCAGGACAGTCACAAACTCCTTGAACTTCATCTGTAGCTTCTCTAATAGTCCAAACACTCCCGGGATAAGAGCATCCACACTCAGGTAATTTTAGAGAGGTGATAGATGTCGCCTCGCTATTGGTGTCATATGTACTACTCGGACACTGCCACTGTTTTTGATTTGGGCCTGAAAATGATTTTGCTCCCAAGAAAACTTCCAATTATATGAACAATGGTGCTTCATTTGGCAGTATAAACACTAAAAGGGAAATATTAATTATATTCTTAATATCATTGAATACATTTTTCCTAGAATATGAAGTTTTAAATATATTCGTGTATGTTTGTTTATTATGACTGGGAACAAAACTTTATGAAGAAAAGTTTGTAGTGGAAGCTTGGGAGAATGAGAGTCATTTCAGAGAAATCTGATTCACAGCAGATTGTCATAAAAATGGGACATCCAAAAGTTCGGTATACCTAGTGGGGAGAAATGTTTCCAATGAACTTGAATAAATACCTCATCTGTCATTAGGGTTGCAATTGATCTGCCAATCTCATGGTACTGTTGACCCTTTCCCAGGGGTCCCAGAAGAATGAACAAAAATCTGTAATTAAGAAAAAAAAGAGAAATGTTTCAAGGTAGAACTATAAAAATAATTCTAGTAGTACATAATCACTCATCTCAAAAGAATTACTGAAGATGGGTTTTGATGTGAGACACTTCCATGGTTTTTCACAGTTGAATATTACTTTGAAACAATTTACCATGATTGATTCACACAATCCCTCAGCAATAAGAAGAGATGACAATTTCATTTTTTTTCTTTTCTTTTTTTTTCTTTTTAGTGGTTTTTGCTATAACGCTCATGCGCTTGCCAGGAAGACAGAGAGAGACAGAGAAACAGAAAGCAAGAAATCACCCCCCAGAGGGGATGGCCACACTTCATCCCTCCTCCTCCATTCTTCTCTCAGGATCTTGGGCATGCACACACATGTGCCCGGCATGAGTTTAAGCCACCATGTCCAGGACTCAAACAGCGGTCAGCTACATGGGAGTCCAGCGACATAGCCATTACGCCAACTTCTGGTCCACAGATAGCAACTTTCTTTTTTTTTAATCTCAGTGTTTATTCATTTAGTTATGTACACAGGCTACACAAGTGTTACTGAGAATTTTAAGAATTCTGCCCTTCTTAGAAAAGGAAGGTGGGGGGACCAGCAGATACACGACTGTGGTTTGACTCCTGGCTCCAGTGGCTTAAAACTCATGCCAGGTGGGAGTGTGTGAGTGATCAAAATCCCAAGAGGAGAATGGAGAAGGGATTGTGGCATGGCCATCTCCCTGGGGGGAGATTTATTGTTTTCTGTCTCTCTGTCTCTCTTTGTCTCTGCAGGCATGCGCATGTGCCCTCAGTTAAAAAAGAAAAGAAAAAAAGAAGAGAAAGGAAAAGAAAGAAAAGGAAGGTGGGAAAAGTAAAATCCGATCAAACCTTTCTGAATTAGAAAGAAGAAAATTCACTTGTATACAAAATGGAAAACAGTTCAAAGGGGGAAACAGTAACATGATGTTATAAACAAAGAGAAACTATATGGTCAAAAAAACAATAGATGTACGTAAAATTGATATTAAATGTAATAATTTAATAAGTAATTATTGTCAGGAATTAAAGGTCACTTAGGCAGAAGAATATAGGGAATTAACCATCTATTCCAGTTCCAGAATACAAATAGGAGCCACACTGTAATATATCATCTACCTTAGATGGATGGCCTGGCAAATTTATCATCACTAGTGATATGTATAAAGAAATCAAGATATGCTCTAACTTTAAAAGACTTGTAATTATCCTCTCTGAGGTCAATGCTTCCGGGAAATTATGAAAATTAAAGAATGACCCTATGTTCCACAGGATAATTTTATGGTGTTGATTTGTTAAGTGGTTTATATCATTAAGTACAAAGATTAATGGGGTTATAAGGTATACTAAAATAGTTGCTATAATTCTACCTTTCCCTTAATTATAAACTTTAGAGATTGTACATGTTTTTACATGAAATAAGAAGATCCAACTTAATAGTTTCTCATGTCAGTTGTAACTGAATTTGAGTCAATTCCTAGTATATAAAAATGTCTGGAACCAGCAGATGACTTAGCAGTTACATCACTAGACTACCATGTGGGTGACCATGGTTCGAGTCCTGGACCCAGTGATTTGAAAATCACACCAGGTATATGTGCATGAGTGCCCAAGATCCATGATCCTCTCCTCTAGGGGGTGATTTCTCACTTTCCCTCTCCCTATCTCTTTCTCTCTTTCTGATGAGCTCACATGACCTAAGGCAAAAATCTTCTAAAAAAAAAATCATCAGATCATCGACCACACATTTAAAAATGGTAATAGCTAAATGTAATAGCAGATGCTTTATCAAGTATAGTACTTTTAAGAAATTTTCTAACTTATGTGCATCTTGCTCTTTTTCAAATTTCCATTCTAAGGGCTATTTACAAAGTTCTAAAAGATTATTCTCTGACATTTCTACTATATGTTGCCATTATATTTGTGATGTGTCCTTTTGTCCTCCTGTGAAAGAATAATTAGGAACATTAATGGCTTTCTTTATCCTGTTTGTCTAACTAACCTTCCATTGTCACCTTTCCTAACTGAATAGTCCGGTCTTTTGGATCTCTCCTTAATGGTTTCTCTTGAGAGCCCCTATTTTTTTTCTCCATTGTTCTCTACACATATTTTGCTATGTCAGTCTGAAACGAGGTCACCTAAGTCTGACAGTTTTCAAAGTGGAAGTACATAACCCCATTACAGTTCTTCTCTACTCCTGGGAATTTTGTCTGGCCTTTGAAATACCAGGACTATTTTTGTCACAAATAGCCATCATTTACTTGAACATCAGACAGCTGCCTAAATGGTGGACTGTGAATGTACTGTTCAGAAGACTGAAAAAGGAAATTTAGACTGCCAAAACAATACCTCTACAATTAGCAAGTTTGACATCTTAAATCTGAATTCCAGGTTTCCAGAAACTCTGAATAGATTTCAGGTTGTGCATAGAAAAATACAGCTTTACTCATATACAGCCAGATGCCACTTCAATGTGCTCATTTCACCCTCTTTTTTTTTCATTTAAGTCACATCTTTTTTTAACATTTAAAAAAAGTTACATTGACTCACTGTACATCTTCACAGTGTACAAAATGCTTCTTGCCAGCATGAATACAGTACATTTCACCGTCTTTTAAAGTAAAAATGGATGCGTATCCAAAATCTCAGAAGCCTTCAAACACAATAAATAGAAAGTGCTCTCTATAATCTGAAATGGAAACTAAGTTTCTCCTTCAAATCAGAGAGTCAGGCACAGGTTACTGAACTCTACATCCCATTCCTGTCAGCTGAGCTCGACAAAGGTAGGCCTCTCCTGACTTTGCCATTCCATATTTCCGGAATATTTTATACATAACTAAAGCAACTAGGTAATATCATTTGCTATATTCAAGTTAAGGGTAAAAGTACATAGAGGAAACGTATTTTACAAACCCAGTTGCCACAGCACCTGAACTTTTCATCATTTTAACTTTTTTGAAGCATTGGATATTTGGACAAGACGTACTGACAGCATCTAAAACAGCTATAGCACCAAACAAGAAGCATGGTTGTGTGGGAAATGGAGTCCTGGATGTGTTTGCTGTTGGAATGCGATCAGAGTCCTATGTGTATGTAGTAACTGTATTGGATACTGAGAGTGGAGAAGAGAACAAGTTTCCTAGATAAGTTGCTAGGAATCTAATCTACTAAAAGCCAATATTCTATCTTTTTTTCTTTCTTTTCTTTTCTTCAGAATTTTACCCATGGACAGTTTTTTTAATTTATAAAATAAGAATAAATGATAAATGGCATGATTCAGTGTGCATTATTATTAAACAGCTCATTTTTATGCGTAGTTAAAAGAGCCAAGTTTAGGTAATCAAATTAAGTCTGTATCTCACTCACATTTAACCACATGGCTGTGATGCAGCTCCCAGTGATTCTTCAGACCCTGTGTGTGGGAGGCATAGTGCCTAGGACTGAAACATGCTGTGTATTTGATAGGGAAGGGGCTAGCCTAATTCACTCAGTGTAAGTGAAAACTGAGTAGAAACTGATCTTGAGTTTGCACTCATACAGAATCCTCTCTTCTTTAGCTCACAGTTTAATATAATCTTCCCGGAAAACCTAGCTTTCTATCACATCTTTTTCAAAAAAAACACAAAAGATTTGCATGGTTATATAGACCAGTGGACCTAGAGATTAGAAACATACCTAGAATAAGACACAGAATGAAAAGGAGGAGGAAAGCATAGACTCACTTTTATTTTTATTTTATTTTTTTCTTCCTACATAAAGAGAAAAATATAACAAGTTTTGTGGATTACACATTAGTTTCTAGTCAAAACTCTAACAGGAAATTTTATATTAATCCTCATTCCCCCCCCAAAAAAAAAATTGATTCAAGAAAAATGTAAAAGATGCTCTTATATACTTTACCTGGTTGGGATTGGAACTTCAGCCAGCCCTTGAAGCAATACAGCTGGAGACAACCTAACAAATGCAACTACAGTTCGATCCAAGAATTCCAGTTCTCCAACTAAGATATTTGAAGCTTCAGCACCTGGAGGAATCTTTTTCATAAAATGCAGATCAACCTGTGAGCATCAGAAAGTGAATAAGGTAACTTAAAATAGGAAAATTTGAAAATCATATTTTAGCACATCTCTACCTATAGGAATCCGTCAGTAAATATAGCATAAATAAATACACATAAACGTGTCACTAGGCCTTTCTATGATAACTTTTTTCTTTACTTGTGTATTAGTTTAACTTGTCAACTATCAATGGAGTAGTCTGGCTTTTCTATTCATTATTTTAAAAAGAAGGTTCTTTACCAGCCTTAGAATTTTAGGAGAAAAAAGTGCATATGCTCAATTAAATAAGAATACTTTAACCATAATTTAATTAGGCTTTGCCACCAGATTTAATATTTTCTACTTCATTGCCTTAACTTTGCATGCAAAACATTTTGTTTCATTTATATTAAGAATACGCTTTTTCAAAATACATATAATTATGTTTCTCTTTATAGTAAAAGTGACAGCGTTAGCCAGTATCTTTATTTCACTTGTTCTATATTGTGCACATTATATCCATGATATGATAATTCTCAAATTTCAGTTTATCACAAGATAATTTAGATATGACAGATAAATAATACAAAAATTAACATTTGGAGTTGTTGAAGAGCCATAGTTGAATTTCCAACATGAGATGTCTGTGACTGGAATGAATGCACACCAAACAAAAGTGATTATCAACAAGGAGAAATGCTAAGAACAAAGAGTGAAATCTGGAAAATGAATGTAAAATATCCTGGAGAATAAGTATACATTTTTTTATGCACAGGGCCTTAGTGAAAAAACCAAACAGTGAGTTTAAAGTAAATTTAATAAGGCATATTTCTCATTTCTATTTTATTCGAGTTGCTTTTTTAGGAAATTTTCTTTTTAAAGGGAAGGGAGCTTATTGGCTCTAGTAATGTGGTTTATGCTTTCTCAATAATGAAATGGGGCCATAGATCAAAGCAGAAATAGCTAAGGGAAAGA